TGCGGCTCTCGCCTCCCTCTCGGCACCGAGGGGCCCATTCACTGACGGCGCTCGGGTTTTAGCGTGGTTTCTTTCACTGCCGCATCTTCGATTTAACTTCGCGGTGCAACTTTAAGTTAAGGCCTCGCTTCAGGGGCCTTCCTCTCCCCTCCAAACCGGTACGCCACCGGCTCTGGCCCAGGAGCCTTCTGCTATTTTGGAGGGCGCTACCAAATTTCGAGTAGGGATATTGCCCAGAAGACCCCGGACCCCCAGAAACCGGAGCAGACTAAATGGAAACTGGGCAGGAGCTTCTGCAATATACATTTCCTTCCCTAAATAACATATAGTGCAGAAATATTTTTTCAAAAGAAAAGCAACACCACGCTGTTAGCCCTGCAGGCTTTCCTTTCCCTGTTGATAGGTTCCACCACCTACCATTAAGCTTTCACAACTGGTGCCCGCAAGTCTCATGTTTCCTATTATGGCAACATGACATCAGTTAGAGATCTGTGACTAACTAACTTCAACAAAAACGTCTATTTCTTCACTGGGCCACAGCATGGGACTTTTCCAGCTATAGAAACGTCAGTGTCAGCAGAGGGCTGGGATGCAGGTTTAGCTGCGTGTGCCCTCTAATGCCAGTCCGCACCTTGAACCTTGGAGGGAAAAAACAAATATCTATTTTTGTGTACCGCTACTAACCTATTTTTATGACCTTGTGCATGATGACAGCATGCGCTTTAGTCCATTAAGTTCACATGGAGCTTTTTTAGTATTTAGATTAATAAAAATTAAAGGCCATATCTGAAAACATAATCCATATCCATGTTCCAAAGTCTGCATCCACATGTTAATAGACACGTTCACTTACTACATACTGCAGTGAGGATGAGTTAAATGGAAAAGTTCCAAGGATGTAAGACTTAATATAGACGTATTTTTTAAAATATATATATATACACACACACAATGCATACATACTATGATATATATCTATGTGTATCAGGTAGTCATAATATATGTATGATTAAAAAACCTAAATAATATTTATCAAGCAGAAGCAGAATCATTTATGCCAAAAACTGTTTTTCATCTTTGCTCAGATTGCAAAATCCAGATATTGCCACCTCTGGAATGAAGACTTTGTTTTATATGTAATGCGCTGTATGCAATGTCTGAAGTCAGGCACCATAGCATATCAAGGTCAAGTACATTCGTCTTATAGGACAAAGAAAACCCATGCAGAGTAGCATCAGAAGTTCTTACTGCTAAATGACTGTAGTATAATGATTCATTCAGAATCATCACCTCACAATCCCTCACATCCTCTTCCTGGGGACTATACAGCCACATTCTCTTATTGCGCGTACTTAACTTCTCAGTGTTAAGACACAGTAGTGAAGGGGGAGCACTGTGCTTTTATAAATGCATAGACTCATTATTCATTTTCAGAAAAAGGAAGAAACTGCCAAGTAGTATTTAACATCAGTACCCATTTAGTGCAGTTTTTCGAATTAGATCTGAGTTATTTACTAATTCTAAGTAATTTATTAATTCTTATTTAGAATTAGAAGAAAAAGAAAAAAAAAAACACTTTGTTTCAAATGTGGAGGTCCTTCCCACAGGAAGGAAAGTATGAAAGTGGAAAGGAAGCTGCTGTATCAATGAATGAAACCAACTCAATGCTAACCTTCGGTCACACTTGATCATCTCTTTCCACGTTTATGGTCAGTCTCAACTGCTGAGTATAAACTTTCCGTTACCAATGGCTCTTCAGCTAGATGACTGCTCTAGCACCATCTTTTTGAAACCAGTATGGTTAAAGCAGTAATAATACCCTTGGAAAAATGCAACTATAATGGTATTATGGGTATTTTGTACTGAAATAGTTTTTCTCTCTAAAATTCCAATTACAGGGGGACCAGCCCTTTTATATTAACAGAGATATTTCTGCTCTGAGAGATTGTATGATTTAACTCTTTTGACAAAGAGTCTTCAACTGATACTTAAAATCAGAACAAAACTGTGCATAGACCAGGCACACACATGCCCATCATACTTTTCTCTCTCTTTAACGATCAGGTATCGTCATCACTGCTATATTTATATCTCTAAGAACAACCACCCAAATTCTTGCTAGCATCCTCTCCGCAAGCACAAGGAATGTTCCCCTGTGTTGCTGCTTTTCAGCCTACTGCACAGTAGGAGATAGATGGTTTCCCAGGCCACAGAAAAATGACAGCACAATGTTTTACCCATGTCCTGACAGAACTGAGGTCTGTACAATATCTTTACTATTAGCTTAACTACTTGAAACCTTCACTAATTACCAGTAAGAGTCACCACAATGAGGTAAGTTGAAGTAACACACACAGCAGGGAAGAAATTGTTATTTCTTTTAAATCTTAAAATAAGTATAAAAATCCTGTGCAGTTGACAAAAGCTTTTAAAAATCAGTTGTAGGAAACTGACAGGCTACTCCATTTCCTTTTTGCAAGGGCCAGAGGCATTAGGTAGTTGAATATTTTGTCACTAACTTGACTAAACACATTGGCCTTGAAATTTATTACCAATTGCCAATTGAAGTACTCTGGTCTGTCTCATAACTGAAACAATAATCAAAAGAATTATTTTTTCCTCTGCTTTTAACTGTTCAAATACATAGTCTTTTATATAGTTTGACAGTTCAATAGTGTCCTGCAACTTAAAGAATACTATAGAAATGCATAAAATTTCTATAATCTTTTTGCACATATGCATTTACAAGGAACAGTCTTTTAATTTATAACGAGTTCTTAACATTCAAAACATAATATAATTTTACCTTTTCCATATTGGACATATCTTTGTGTGTCAGACAACAGACCAGTGTCTGTTTCTCAGGCAACAACAGTGCTGTAAACAATGTAGTTGCTGAAGAGGGTTAGGAGTTAAACTCTGCCAGCCACAATCCATACTCCTCACTTTGCAACAACCCTAGCAGAGCAAAATGTAAATTGCCAGTTACACCTGCTGCAGAAATCAACTCTCCTCAGCCAGAATCTCAGGATATTCTTCCCAGAACTGGTCCCCTATAATGTCACAGTGTAGAGGAACAACTTTAGTCCTAGTCCGGGTCACTTCAACTTCTTTTTCCTCTGTGTCCTTTGGCAGTTTTATTTTCTTTGTTATGACTTCATTAACCTGAAAACAGAGTTGACACATTAGTAAGCAGATAAGACTCCAGCCGGATTTCATAAATGAACAAGACAAAAAGCTGTAACAAAAGTAACTGTCATCCCTAGATGTACAACATAATTTGAACACTGAATCTTTTGAAAGAGAATCTATTTTATATTCAGTAGACCAGCGTGACTAGTTCAAACCGCATGTCATCATCATATGGCCTGAAGAAATCAGCTGCAAATTCATGTAACTGATTACAAGTATTCTTGAATAAAATATAATATTTAGTTGGAGCTATTTAAAGCATACAGGAACCTTGCAAATGGCCTACAATTACCAAGAAAAAGAATGTACAAGGAACAAGTGGAATATATTTCCAGGTTGGAGCTTCTACCTGTTCTAATTAGTTCAAACAAAGAGAAGTCAGTAGCAAAAATTAAAAAAATGGATTATCAATTTTTTCTACGTACAGAAGTCATAAGGCTGAATAAATTACAGCAAACTCTCAGCATAGACTAATTGGGTCCTGATCACGAGCAAGGTGCCTATCTCTAATTAAAATCTCTCTATGTGGAAGAATACTAAGGCCAGAAACATTTATGATTTTCTGGGGTCTGATCTCATGTAAAACACAGGCCAGGAATTTCTTACACTAATTCTGCGTCAGTGATATAATCTTAGAATGATGAGAATTCTCAAGTTATTATTAAAAGAAATTCCTCATTAACAGCTGCACTCCTTACTATGCTTCTTTACATACAGAGAAAAGAGGACTAAAGGTCCTATGGACTGAGCTATCTTATTGAATGAAAGTTTATAATTCCTTTGCTATGCACTCACTTAGGATCCAATCCCGTGAAGGGTCTGGCAGAGGTCCTAGGGATTACTGTTATCAAACTTTGATAACGGTCATTAAAATGTAATTTTTCAGGAAGGAGAATATGCCTCCTCAATTTTCAAAGCTGGTAGCAATAAGAAGCCAATTGTATATTATTCATTAAACAAAGAAGAGTTATCTAGTAGATACATCAGTCTTGTGAAATTCTACATAAAACATACCTAACAACAAATGAGAACGTACATACATCAATGGTCATAATTTATGTATAAGCCAGACTTCAGAAGAGTTTTCACACTATGCTCATGGAGAGAGATACCTCAAAAACACCTCCAAAATAGCACATCATTATGTGGATAATGTCATTAGTTTTAAAATATATTTATAGATGATGTCCACAGAGTTTTACTTCACATTTGGTGTTTTTACAGCACAGCTTGTCTGCCGTAGTGTAGCTATTTAAAACATGAGCATGAAGGCAGTGCTAACACAGTTTTTACCTTCTGCCATATTAGGACAGTTCCTTTTCTATACATCAAAGGCTCATTGTTGTAGTTGATGTTGAATTCAGAAAATAAAATTTCATTCTTGTCTCCAGCCAAAGTTCCCTGACAGAAAAAGAAAAGTACCCTTATAGAAAAAAACAAAACAACAAAAAGCATACAAGCAAACTGAATCTCTAGCACAGAATATAAGTAAATATTGGAAGCAAGAGTTGCATTTATACTCGTTTTTCACCTTTAAATTACAAGCTCTAATTACCTCTCCCAATAGAGAAACTATTTGCAACTGTCAAATGGAAATATTAAGAGAGATTTTCTTTCAAGTTGGTTATTACTTTTTCAAAAGAGTAGAAGAAACTCAACAGAATCCAGAAGAAAACAGATATAACGTGCTTAAGTCTGCACAATCAGTCAAAATACTACAGAAGGAGCTGGGAATCAACAGTGTCTTAATCCTCCCATTTTATTTCTTCTTCAAAGATAATGGATGTTTCTTTAAAGTGTTTAGGATTTCTGAATTCAATAATTATGAAATGAAAAACCAAGTAACACTCTAGCTAAAATGCCACACGCTAATCATATTAACATCTGTACAATTCAAGAGGAAGCTGCTGAACGGACATCAATGAAATTATTACAGTAAGAATAGAAAAGACGGCCAGGGCTGCTGGGTAGGCAAGACGTGGCTTAGCAAATGATGTGATTTGGTTTGTACCTAGAACAACACGACCTCAAAAGAGTCTTACCTGAAGTCTATCCTGTGCTTGTACTGGTGTCAAACCACTTCGTTGTACAAGCATCCAAAACACTGTATTGTAAAGGTTATTAATATGGCCTACAGAAAAAGAAGGAAAGAGCATTTACCAAATCTGAGCGACTACTCAGAAAAAAGCAACTTCATTGCCAGAGTCACGTACAGGAAATACTCAGTAATAAATGGTCATTAATAATATCAGTATCTGCAGAAGCTATATCTTTCTGATCCATTTTTAAGGTACTGTATATCATAAGAACCACCAGAAGATTGCTGTCATGATACTTCACAAGTGGGAAAGGGACAACAGAGAGAGAAGGGTGTTTATGAATAATTGACCAACAAGGACTAGCTACTAACGGAAGTCTAGAAATGAAGCCCAACAGCATGGAATATACAGTGCTCTTGACTGCTATGATTTTGCTACATGGTGAAGTTGAATTCAAACAGTCACATCTCTCGGTTAAAGAGGATAATATTGGTTAAATAAACACAACAACAACAAATGAATTCTATTAATAATTCTAGTATTTCCAGTACCAAATTCACTCCCAGCGTGTAATGAATATAATCTGAGGTCTCAGAACTTTAGCCTTCATTTTTGCTTCCACACAAATCCTAGCACAATTTTAACAGTTTATTTAAAACTATGCCTTCCCCTACCTGCTGTTCTTTCACTGGTAACATACATGCATACACTTGCAGTAAGGGCATTCGTATTCAGAAAGAAGAACTCAACTGTGTAAATCTACTTTTTTTAAAAAAATGCTTACAATCTGCTTGTCTCCAACTGAGGTAGTCCTTTAAGTTTTGGTTGCTGGGATACAACACAACTCGTCCATCAAAACCTGGTGGATACAGAAGTTGCTGATCCTTAAAGTAATCCTTCCAATAGAAAACGTAACTTGAGGCAAACTGGGAGACCACGTGAGTCATGAACTTACTTGCAAACACAAAGCAAACAGAAAAAGAAAGCAATATATCAATGTGATTATACATATTGGTGATTATCTGGGCTATCAATAACAATAATTTGGGGGGGGGGCAGAATTTCTTAAATAACGGTGCACAGATCAGCAATAGCATAGAGTCTTTTGAAGACTAAGAAGTACTGAGAATCACATAAGAGTTTGGAAGGGGAATCATTTTGTTAAAAGAAGTTGTGTTTAATCAAAACTTTTAAAAAATCCTTTATCACTGAACATATATTCTAGGGAGATCACACGCAAAGAGTTCACATGAAGAACCTGAGAGCTAGTTTACAGTGGATACACCCAAATACAGTCCTATACAGAACCTATACATATAGATGAAAGCAAATCTAAGGAAAATCAACAAATTCCAAATTTAGAGAGAAGTATTAAAAGTGAATACACTTCTTGGTATCAAAGCAGCTGATACCTTGCTCTTCTTTTAAACCATCTACTGTTCTTTTTGAAAACAAAACTGTATTCATCGCTTTGTCCATAAGCGATAGCAATATCTTCCAGTTCTTGCATCACTGTCTGGGCACACTTGGTCATCAGATGAAGAGCACGGTCATCATTTGGCTTTTTGAACTCATGTTGCTCAGCAAACCTTCAAAGCAAAAATGGTTGAACAAGAATCCTTTAAAAAGCTACTCAAAAATGCTAACCCATTAATTTTCATCACATTTACTTTCTATGAATATTGACTTCCAGTATCCTGTCAATACTGACAGAGAATTCCCTCCAGGTATGAACAACAGTAACAATAAACCGTGGTTATATATCCCAGATAACCCATTCTCTTTCCCATCAGTATCTTATCCTAACTATATAATAGTCTTTCAAAACAACTGCTTTCCCTATTTTACTTGGAATAAGAAGATAACAAATAACATTTTCTGTAACCTCACTTTGCACCAGGGTGCCTCTTATACTCTGTCCAACAAAGGCAACATTTAGTCAATTGTCAAAACTCAAGAGCTTTACCAGAACCAGACTTCACCAAACCACCATCTGGAAGAACAACTTTCAGAGATCAAAACCCCAGCAAGAATATGGCCCATCCGCCACTCAAGAGAACCATGACCCATTGATCCTGAAGAAAGCTGAATCTCACAGAGATCATTTCCACACACAAATAAATACTCCTGTTTACCAGTTGCAGTCCTTCCCACAACCCATCCAAGCCACTGTTACACTATTTCTGTTATACCCTATCGTCCCATAGATGCCACACTTCTTAAGCTGTATATGGCCCAGAAAGACAAATACCAGTCTCACAGAATCACAGAATGACCAAGGTTGGAAGGGACTTCTGGAGATCATCTAGTCCAACCCCTTGCTCAAGCAAGGGCATCTAGAGCACGTTGCACAGGATCGCATCCAGGCGGCTTTTGAATATCTCCAAAGAAGGAGACTCCACAGCCTCTCTGGGCAACCTGTTCCAGTGCTCAGTCACCCTCACAGGAAAGAAGTTTCTCCTCATGTTCAGATGGAACTTCCTGTGTTTCAGTTTGCGCCCGTTGCCTCTTGTCCTGTTGCTGGGCACCACGGAGAAGAGGCTGGCCCCATCCTCTTGTTACCTTCGCTTTAAATATTTGTTTACATTGATGAGATCCTCCCTCAGTCTTCTCTTCTCCAGGCTGAACAGGCCCAGCTCTCTCAGCCTTTCTTCAGAGGAGAGATGCTCCAGTCCCTTCATCATCTTTGCAGCCCTCCACTGGACTCTCTCCAGTAGCGTTATGTCTCTCCTGCACTAGGGAGCCCAGAACTGAGCACAGTACTCCAGATGTGGCCTCACCAGGGCTGAGTAGAGGCGGAGGATCACCTGCCTTGACCTGCTAGCAACACTCTTCCTAATTCAGTAGTAAGGAGACACTCTGAAGAGGGTGAAAGGATTTCTGAGGACTAACCACTGCCCCTACTGAATTCACACAGCTCAAGCAGGGAAGCCACGCTTCAGGAACCCATAGCCAGTCACATGATATCAGTCAAGATGTCGAGAATCCATGTTCTTGGCCCTGGAGCCAACACCTCGCTCTGCACCGCGCCCTGGGGCCCAGCACCCTTCTGCGCACTGCCTCCAGCCCCAGGAGGATTTCTGAGGACTAACCACTGCCCCTACTGAATTCACACAGCTCAAGCAGGGAAGCCACGCTTCAGGAACCCATAGCCAGTCACATGATATCAGTCAAGATGTCGAGAATCCATGTTCTTGGCCCTGGAGCCAACACCTCGCTCTGCACCGCGCCCTGGGGCCCAGCACCCTTCTGCGCACTGCCTCCAGCCCCAGGCTGCCAGGCTAA